TGACAATATATTATATAGTAATTATATCTTAATATGTAATACAATATAATATATAATAAAAATAATATAATATAGTTACAGTAATATAATAATATGATATAATATAATATAATTGTTATTATAATTCTAATATTATTATCTATTATTGTTGTGTGAGAAAATGTGGGTGACAGGTAGAACGTCGATAGCATGACACGTGGCCCTACCTCCCCTCCAAAGGTGGCCACCCTCGACGCCAAGACATTGATCACCCTTGACGCCAAGAGTTCGACTACCCTCGACACAACAAAGAAAGGCCCAAATTAGGGCGTCGACTCGTTGTGACGTCGAACTTATGCAAAAACCTTCGAAAAGATTAGAAAGGGCATAAGATCCGCGCAGCATAGACGCCGAGAGGAAGATGCCTGACACCATAAGTTGCGTCTAGGAGTGGGATACGTCTGCAATACGGACATTAATTACAAACCCTTAGACCGCCCTGCAGAAGGTAGCAAGAGATTACAGGAATTCACAGAGCTGTAATAGAATACCTAATGGCTGAGTGAACAGTCCAAAAGTGATTAGTGGGCTACGGCCTTAGCCTAGAAAGTAGGCCACTTGAGTACTTCCACCTACGAAGGAAAACCATCCACGAAGGAAGCTTGGGCTATAAAAAGGGCAAAGCCCCATACGCCAAGGAGAGAGTTCTCTCGGAAGCATGAGATGAGAAAAAAGATACGTGCATGTAAAATTGTAAAGAGTCCAAAAGAAATATAGTATACATAAGTGGATGTAGCTCTTCATTAACAAAGTGAACCACTATAAATCTTGTGTGTCCTCTTACTCAAGTGTTATTTTCATGCACACAAAACACAACAAACAATTCCTAGCATAATTTCAAATACACAGCTAATTTCTAGCCGGTAACCCCACGAGATACCAGAGGGTGATTCAGCGTATTTCTGTTGACGAAATTTTACCGTCAATAATTATGATTAAATAATGTATTAATTATAATATATTTATTTAATATTTTATAATATATAATATATTTAATATTTTATTATATTTTATTATATAATGTATAATAATATTACAATATAATATAGGCACAATAATATAATATAATATAATATAATATAATATAGTTGTAATATTGTAAGAATAATATTATAATTATGTCATATTATATTATATGATATTACAATTATATTATATTGTATTGTATTAATAATATAATAATTAATATAATTAAATATTAATATAATGTTATAATTCTAATATTCTTATCTATTATAGCGTATTACACACATTATGATTATAATATATGTATTTAATATAATATAATATACTAATAATTATATATTACATTGTAATTATATATATTATATTATGGTATAATATAATATAGTTATAATTTTAATTATATTATAAGTGAAATGTTTCCGTTTCTTATATAATCTTATAATATTTTTTATAATATTATAATTATATTAACCATTTTAATAATATTATTATACTCTATATCATAATTATATAATATATAATATAATAGTATTTTTATTGTATCATATTACATTTTATTTCTTATAATCATTATATTGATATATAAAATATTAGTGTTACATAACATAAACGTAATTTTGTCAACATAAAAATATTCATGTTCCATTTCATAGTATATGAAATATTCATGCAACCAAATGCACCCGTAACGTTCTATATTGATCTCACCCATTTTTGGAGCCGTATGATTAAATGCTATGCTTTAAAAAATAATAAAAAAAAGAAGAGGAAAAGAGTAAATTTCAGTGTACTTAGTTCCCCCCATCATTATTCTTAACAACTATGTATTTGATTTTACTTTGTTCTACACGTATTCAGTGATAATTAATATACATTTCAAGGAATGATTACAAATAAATAATTGTAAGTTCAGTATTTTGCTTCCCTTGTAAAGCTCACAATTTTCAGTTATAAATATGGGCATTTGAAAAGTACTATAATATCCTTCCCCGTTTCCTTTTATATACAATACCAAACAAAAATATCAATGATTTTTGTATTCTTTTCCCTTAATATAACAAACAATATAAAATATCTATCATCATTGTGTTTTCATTATTTTTTCCTTATCTATTCTTCAGTTTCATTCCTTTCCCCTCCTACCAAACGAAACATAAATGAATCTAGACAAGTTTCTCCATTAAGTTTACTTCATTTAATTAACTTCCTACCATCCATACATATATTCTTCCAAGATTTGACACGAATCTATGTCATGTCAACCTCTTAATTTTCTAAATAAATATTTTTGTTTTTTAATTAATTAATTGTCACATAAAAACTCTAAAATTCATGGATTAATAATACGTGAATGCAAAATTCATACAGATTTTTAGTTCCTTAAAATACTCAAGTTTGATGTAGATTACACATCTCCCGCCAATACTCCATTAATTATTGATCAATCACATGTTCTCATCTCATATACAATTGTAAATTTGTAACTCAAAATACAGGGCATGGAAGTGCGAATGTGCAACGAGAATTTGATGACAAGATTTGTAAAAATACCTTGACACAATTATAAATTATAGCATGTGACATCAAATAAAAAAAAACATATTACTATTTACATCAAATTGGAGTCATATTATATTAATAAAAATTAACAATTTAAATAAAAAATAAACAATTTAATAAAATTAAATAAAAATGATGGTTTACAACTATATCGTATTAAAAAGGTATTTATTTCATATTTTAGAATGTAATTCTCCTAAGTGCAACTGTACAATACTTGTTTAAAATGAAACTTACTGGACTATAAAAATTTAAACCAAATCAGAATCATATAATACTAAGAAAAATAAAATAATTAAAAGCAAACAGTATAACAATATAATGAAAATTAAATAAAGAACGAGAAAACATTTTTCGCCATGTATCATATCAACAAAAAGTATTTTTTTCATATTTTATCTTGCAATTCTACTAAGTGTAAAACTTGGTAGTGTTAGTGAGTTCTCTACTAATGACATCTCTATTGTGATTGCATGATCGGAATGTTAAATATAGTTAAAATTATATTAACATGAAAAATATACAAAATTAGTAAAATTGCATTTGAAAACATAACCTTAATATTACATTTTTTTTTAAAAATGTTTAGGGACTATTAGTGAAAAGCACTATCACTAATAAAAAAAAAGTAAACCACATTTATAAGTCTCATACGTCTCTACAAAGCTTATGTTTTATTAGTGGGTGGCATTGCTCTTTTTTTCCGTATCCTATTGTAAAATTCTGGTGGTAATTTTTAACGAGTTGAAAAACTAACATCGGACGTTGACCACACGTGTCCCATCGCACCAATAGCATCAAAGGCCCAAATCCAGCTTACTAAATTTGACCACCCACTCATACTTGTGCCCTCTTCACACCATAACATCACTCCCTTTCCACGCTCACAAACACACACACACGCGCACACAATACAAAAACAACAACAAGAACTTCTCTTTTCTCTCCCTCATTAACTCCACACTTTCCCTCACACACACAAAAGTCTTTATCCTCAGAGAGACCGAAAAAAGAAAGAAACTGAATTAATAAAAAAAAAAAAAAAAAAAAGAAGGAAGGTTGTCAGATACAAAAATATCCGACATTAATTTCCCTCTTCCCCTAATTCAGATTCTCCGCAGATCCCCCCCTTGTGCTCCCCCACCCCCTCCATTAATGCCCTCTTAGCAAACCTCCAAAACCCATTTCTTTCCCCCTCCCTCTCTCTCTCTCTCTCTCTCTCTCTCTCTATATATACATATATATATATATATACACACACACATACACAACACATATATATACATATACATATACCCACATACAAAAAAGCAATAATATACACAAAACCCATGTAGAAAAAAGAAAGCAAAAAAAAAAAAAAGAAATGGACTGCTCTGTTTTCCTTTCCCTCCTCTGTTTTTCCTCCCTCTTCCTGTTCTCCTTCCTCCTCCACCGGGCTTCCCGCCGGCGGCGGCTCCGGCTGCCGCCGGGGAGTCTAGGACTGCCGGTGATCGGAGAGACGCTGCAGCTGATCTCGGCGTACAAGACGGAGAATCCGGAGCCGTTCATCGACGAGCGGGTGGGGAAGTTCGGGCCGATCTTCACGACGCACGTGTTCGGCGAGCCGACGGTTTTCTCGGCCGAGCCGGAGACGAACCGGTTCATTCTGCAGAACGAAGGGAAGCTGTTCGAGTGCAGCTATCCGAGCTCGATATCGAACCTTTTGGGGAAGCATTCTCTGCTTCTGATGAAGGGAAGTCTCCACAAGAGAATGCATTCTCTCACTATGAGCTTTGCCAATTCTTCTATCATTAAGGATCATCTCTTGGATGATATAGACCGGTTGATCCGGCTCAATATGGACTCCTGGACCGGCCGAATCTTGCTCATGGAGGAGGCCAAGAAGGTATTATAATTGTTATTAAGTAAAAAAAAATAAAAGAAAAATAAAGAAAAAAAAGTATTTTTGTTTAAAAAAAAAAATTAAGAGTCATGTCGTGGAATAGTGCCGACCGAGTCGACTCGGTGTTGGATCGTCCGAGTTGGGAAGGTGTTATTATCATCCGGTGGATCATCTATAGTTTGCATGATTTGTGTTGTTTATATGTGTGTACATGTTTATATTTTTTTTTGTGTGTTAAAGAATATATTGGTAGTGAGTCAGACTCCACGGCGCCGAGTGGGTGGTATACATGCATAATCACGTTACGACATGTATATATATATATATATATATAGATAAAAAGTATAAGGCAATAATCATTCTCTTTGAGTGATCGTGTTGATTCTGCTAACCTATAAATATGTATATATATAATATTCTTTTATCCGTCAGTGCTAGTTATGCTCAATATTCGTTGATCTTTTTAACACATATTCCATTTGTTTATTGTAATTTTGATTAAATTATCAGATTAAGGTTTGGTGATTATTATATTGATGAAGACTTTTTTTTTTCGGGGGGGTGAAGATAACATTTGAGCTAGCAGTGAAGCAGCTAATGAGCTTTGATCCGGGGGAGTGGACTGAGTCTCTAAGGAAAGAGTATCTTTTACTCATTGAAGGCTTCTTTACCATTCCTTTACCTCTCTTCTCCACCACCTACCGAAGAGCCATTAAAGTAATTGTACTACAAACCATCTTTCTTCTTCTCATTTCCGAATATTCCCTTTTTTGTTTTTAGCTACCAAAAAAAACATAAAAAAAAAAAACACTTCTGATTACTTGATCAAGATCAAGTTTGATTAAAATGGTTTGATCTATATATATGTATATGTAGGCTAGGACCAAGGTGGCTGAGGCATTGAGCTTGATAGTGAGGCAAAGAAGGAAAGAAAATGAAGTTGGCGAGGGAAAAAACGACATGTTAGTGGCTCTCTTGGCAGGAAACGACGGCTTTTCCGACGAGGAGATTGTGGATTTCTTGTTGGCTTTGCTTGTCGCTGGCTATGAAACGACATCCACTATTATGACTCTTGCCGTTAAGTTCCTCACGGAGACACCTCTTGCTCTGGCTCAACTCAAGGTTGGTTTATTTATTTATTTATTTTTTTTTTTTTTGGGTGAACTTTTCTTTCCTTTTCTTTTTAATTTTATGATGAGAATGAAAAATATTTTGATGAAAAGTTTGTTTTTTATGACGAAGAAAACTAGCTAGTATAGTAGGAAAAATGATGAGTTTCCATAGTGGGGCTAATTCTTAGAACCCCACCATCATGTTAACCTTCTTAGGAACCTCATTTTCGTTATCTAAAAATTCTAGACCGCTTGCGGAATTAGACATATGTTATGGAGATGAAAAAGAAACCAAAAGAAGAAAACAAAAGCTCTAATTGTTGTTCCATGTTCGTGCACATGCAGTATCTTTCTTTGCTTTTTCTCTTTTCCTTTTTTCCCACTTAATAAAATGATGTCATTATGTGGTCACACCCATGGATTACAAGAATGAGAATTAAATGCTTTTTTGCTTTTCTTTTCACAGACATGTGTAAAAGAAAATCAGGAGAGAATAGTATAATATTTATAGATCCGTTCATTTCACCGATTTGAATTTAAAATTCGAGTTTTACTATAATAAAAGGCTCTAAAAAAAACAGTCACGTCAAACTATTTTGCTACAGTAAGAAATTTTCACATAAAGTCACATATCAATTTAAATTAAAAACTCGAATCAATGAACTCAACAAATCTGAAAACTCTCAAGGCCGCTCTGGCAAACACATAACTTAGAGTTGTAAATTGAAACAAGGGTATACATAGTAAAGTATAGATATTATAGAGTAAATAGTATTGATAAAATAAATAAATAATAACATTGCTTTAGGAATAAGTATGGAGAATGTGTTATGGAGTACGAAAGAGCTTTTTATTGCTAGTGTGTGTACTAATTAGTATACGTTTAGCACAACAACTTGTATGTATATTTGTTCTTGGTAATTTGTTTATTTGGTGGCAGAGCCAATACATGTGTTCTGCTTAAATTTTGTAATTTTTGTCTTTCAAAAATTTCAATTGAACTTTCCATGATCATAAGGAAAATAAAAAAGATTAACAAATAACTGTACTTTTTGGTTCGAGAAATTTTTTTTTTTTAATAGGATCCAGACTGAAAATATCCTCTTTTTCATCTAGATGCCCTTTAGTGAAAAGAAGGGGCAAAAAACAAAAAAGTTAATATAAGTTTTCAACCCGGCGGTGAAAAGGGTGACAAGGACGTGGAATAAATTGTGTTGGGTACGGTGTAGTATTTCTATGTTACAGCCACCGAGCGAGGTATGTATTGTTGGTGGGGTGAGCGGGTGATGGTGTTGGAAGGTGTAAAAAGATAAGAGTCGGTCAAAAGTAGAGCAAAATAACAGCACATGCCAGAGCACTAACGGTGTTCCATGCTACATACTACTACTGATGAAAACCAATTGATACATGATGCTACATACCAATTGATACATGAAAAAGGATGATTTATTAGGAATTTTTTTAATATAGCATTTTTAGGGACCGATTCTCATAAGTCATTGTTTGCATTGAGATTGAAATTATGTTTTTGATATGACTTGGATTAATGAAAGATTCTTTAAATACTTGATGATGAAAATGCTGATCATATTCTTTTTCATTCCACGTTATAATTTAGATTATATAGTCAGATTGAGAGCATTAGAATGTTATTAAACGGTTGATTTGTGAGCTTGAAAGGATCTATGTGACGAAATTCATTTCATCTTCTATTCGTTACGGTGCATCGGCATTTTTCCAAAAGTAAGTACACGAACGTAAAAGTCAAAAGTGCAGGCAAAAGTTGTCGTGTGGACAATAAAACCAACGGACAATATCATGTTCACTCACTTCCCTACTCTCTCTCTCTCTCTCTTTTCCACTTCTTTCGAAGCTGCACGCCCTTCCTTAAAAGCCTGTACGTGTGCGCGCGCGCGCCTTTAGCTGTTTCTGTAATTGCTTGTCACACAACACACCCGAAGAACATGTCAGATTCTGACTAAACAGCCCTTGATTCACGTGCTACTTTTGGTGGTATTTTCGTCCTACTAGTGAGGGTTGTGAAGTGTGTGAAGTGTGAACCCATGGACATGGGGGTCATTGGGAATCGCGTGGTTCTGATTTCTAGGACCGTCAAGAGATCTAGCGGCTGATAATTGTCCATGTTGTGATGTCGTTACCAGTTAGTCACCTATACTCCATAGGGTAACTCCGTTTTTATTTTTGGAAATTTTCACTTTTTCTTTTGTTTTCTTTTTTGGAAGGATTAGACGTTTGGTCTCTATTTTAACTCATAATTTTAATTCTGATATAGTATTTTTCATAAAATTTAAATTTTAAAATTTTTTTCTGAAGAGTCTTCACAATAAATTAAAATCACTAACTTCAATGCGTGAATTAAATAAAATCTTAATATTTTTTTGAATTTATTATCTAAAAAAGTTCTTAGAATAAGTAATCTTAGAAACATTAACTTTAATTAAATTTTTATATAACTTTTATGAGTTGTTATTTTTTATTGGTAGGTGCATTTTTATTATTGATTGATGTGTGATAATCTTTTAAAAATAATAGGATAATCTTGACAAATATCTTTTGAAAATACATGAGTCAAGATTTTTATCTATTATTCTTAATTCATAACCTTTATAGTCAAATAATTATACTAATAAAAGAATATTTATAAAAAACAATGAGTAAATGTCTAGACTCGATATATTCTCAACTTTTTCAAAATAAAATATGTTTAGCATGACATGGCTCAAAAGGAAAGCAAATGGAACATGGTCCTTGGCCCAGTTAATTGGATAAAAAGGCCCAAGCAAGTTGCTTTTCCCATGGCCCTCCTTTTTTGTGGAGGAAGCTGTATGTGAATCATTAGCTTCCTCTAATATACAAACAAATAAGTAAATAAAGTCGTCTTATAATTACCTAAAATTCTAGAAGAAGTTTTTTGTATTGCCACCCTTTAAAGTCAAACTTTAAGACTAATTCTTTTGATTCTATTAAGTGTATTGGTATATACAATACTTATGTCAATGACAAAAGAGTTGAAATTAACTCTGGTTAACGGTCTGATCGGCAGGAAGAGCACGACCAAATTAGAGCCAAAAAGAGGGAGTCATCAGAAGCACTGGAATGGAGTGATTACAAGTCAATGCCATTCACTCAGTGTGTAAGTATTTTACTAGATAATTAATGTTTCATTAATTACACAATTATTCTCCAAGTTCATCAAATACCTTATTTATTATCCACTTGTATAATACAATATTTCAGGTCGTTAATGAGACACTGCGTATTGCAAACATAATTAGTGGGGTATTCAGGCGAGCCATGACTGATATCAACATCAAAGGTAACAACAAATAATGTGTGTATTATATTATCACACTCCAAGTTCATCTAATTCTTAAGTACAAAAGAGTACTCATCACAAAATCTTTGAACAAAAACAGGTTACACAATCCCCAAAGGATGGAAGGTTTTCGCATCGTTTCGCGCCGTTCATTTAGAGCAAGAACACTTCAAGGATGCTCGAACCTTTAATCCGTGGAGATGGCAGGTGATTAATTGTTCATCTCTTATCCATCTCAAAGTTTTCTTAGCTTTTTTTCAATTTTTTCTTAATTTCTATTTGTCAATTGCTTATTAAATTTTGACAGAACAACTCTGGAGGAACAAGTAGTTCCGTCAATGTGTTCACCCCATTCGGAGGCGGGCCACGGCTGTGCCCGGGCTATGAACTTGCTAGAGTAGAACTCTCAGTTTTCCTTCACCACTTAACCACCGGTTTCAAGTAATTAAATTGCATATTTCAGTTCATAATCTATCCATAAATATTATGCATAAATGTAAATTAATATTTTTTTTTCTCTTTTTTGGGGCTAATTTAATTTAGTGTTGTTATTGACAGTTGGGTTCCTGCT